TAACAGTCTCCAAGAGGATGTGTGCAAGCAAGTTCATATATCAACCCCTTGTGCCTTCAGAGACAAAGCATGACCCAGTTTTTCTTGAGCAGAGATGGCAACACTAATATCAAGATAGGTGGATACATAGAGACTAACGGGGCAGTGAGACAGCAGTGACAGAAAACTGGGTTTCTGCTTATTACATCCACAGTTATGTGTATACACTAGCCTCTGTTTAGTGACGAGCATGCCATTACATGATTCTGTCCCTGCTGGAACAGCAGATGTACAGACACAACAGACACAGAGATGGCTGAGATGCTGGGCTAACAGTCTTAGGGAACAGACACTGCCTGTTTTGACCACAATACTGCTATGCTTCACACTGTTCACGGAGATTCTCCTGCCTTATAAAACCCACAAGAGAAATAGCAAGCATTCTAGCAAAGAGGGCTACACATTTCCTGCCTAAGAATGCTCACTAAAAAGAAACATGAACTTGCCGTCACTGACTTTAAACATCAACCTCGAGGTCTAGATCTGTCCATAATTAGATTCTGTAGTAAATTTCCCTTCGTGGAACCTCTTTCACTTAAAAGGAATTAGGTCAGATTTTTACAAAGGCAGAAGGAGTGTCTGTGATAGATTTATTAAAATTCCCCATTGTTCCATTAAAATGTGCCCTTTGCCTTCCCTGTAGCTTGTGTTGAATGACAAAGAGTGACAGCCAGCAGCTGCTGAACCTGCAGGCTGGAAGTTCTATCTGCTGAGGCTCAGGATGAGGTAATATCCCCACCCCCACCTCCCTTCCCAGGTGCAAGGCTGGGGACAGAATTTATGAGACACAAATCCATGCTCCAGGTTGTCCACCTGGCAAGGAGGACAAAACTCACTCAGAGATATTCAGTATGGAATAAGAAAGGTGGTGGCACTGTAGAGGGAGGTGGCACAAGCTACTTCTCAACCCGGGGTAGTTAAAAACTATTTCTTACCCCAAGTGACATTGAAAACTGACTTGAACTGAAAACAACAGTAAAATTTATCTAAATATTGTGACATCAGTACAGTGAACATTTTCCTGGGTGTCAAGATGGGTACATCAATTTCAACCTTCCAGTCCGGCCCTCGTTTAAATTAGAAATCTGCTGCTTCTGCCCAGCAGAATTCTTTTCCACCAGAGACTGGAAAATGTGGTCTTGATCAGGTCAATTGTATCCGTGGAAGATTAAAGAGATGTACAGCTTTCAAATATACTCTGCCCCTGACTGTAAAAGACAGACACACTCACTATACAAATCCAGACAAAAGCAGATATAAAAATCAAACCCCCTCCTAATTCTTCCACTCAAAGATGAAGCTGCAACTGAACTTGATAGTTGCACTGTCTTATAATAACCAATGGTTGTCATCAAGCACTCATGACAATGGTTTTGTAGAGTCACACAGATACTGACTTCTAAATGGGATCGTGGGGAAAAAAAAACTGCATGTAATTCCACAGACAAGAAGAGCTGTAAACTAAGATGGTTGCACCTGAGTGCTGCCTAGTTGCTAAACTATACCAGAATGTAGGTAGGTAGATAGATAGATAGATAGATAGATAGATAGATAGATAGATAGATAGATAGGCAGGCAGGCCCAGTGGGCTGGAGAGATGGCTCGGCAGTTAAGACCACTGGCTGCTCTTCCAGAGATCTGGGTGTGATTCCCAGCACCCACAAGGCAGCTCACAGCTTCCAGGGATCTGACACCCTCTTCTGGCCTCTGTGGCACAGTGTGCATGTGGTGCTCAGACATCCAGCAAGCAAAACAACCATACACATACAATTAAATACATTTAAAAAGAAAGCTGCCTGAACACTTGCCTAACTGTTTGAAGCCCCTGTGGGAACACTGGTATATAAACAGTCACAGGTTTTTAGTCAGTGTCTAATTGTTACACTGGACACCTAGGCTTCACAGCTCGAGATGTGAAAGCAGATGGCAGGAGTGGAGGTTCCCAGCATTTTCCCTTTAAAAAAACAAAACCAAAACTTACTTTTTATCTAAAAATTTATTTAATCTGGGCATATATAAAATTAGATTTATTTATTTACTTATTTAACAGTGTGGGTTCACATGTATAAAGGCAACTCTCTGCTTCTCCGTGTGGGTCTGGGGCTTGAACTCAGGTTGTGAGGCAAGGCAGCAAGCATGTTTATATGTATGTGGGGCTTTGCCAGCCTACTCTCTGTTCTCAATGCTTACTTAGTATGGTATCAATTTTTAATGGTGCTTCAAAGAACAAAATAAATAGCTACAATTACTCTGTTCACCCACTTAGGGGCAACAATTGAGTAAGTGTATACATCCTGACAACTTAGCAGCCACTTAAAGAGGAAAGAATAACAATTACTGCAGGGTGTGTGAGACTGATGGGCAACAGTAGAGCTCTAAATCCAGTCACACTGTTCTAGATCAGTTTTGTGGAGGTTTGCTCATCATTACACCAACTGTTGAAGAACTAATTTCTGGAGCTATGACATGATCAGAATGAACCCCAGTCTACTGGCAGTGGGAATGTCCCAGGACTGGAGGCTGCAGTGGAGTCCAGTAGATGTCAAGTCCCAGTGTGGCCCCTTGTGAGTTTGCCGGGGCACTCTAGGCTGGCTAGGGCAGTCTGCCAACCTTACACTGCTGCTTATTTACCTGTGTGAAAGTGGCTGTGCGTCCCAGGGTCTGATACTGCTCATGTTCAGATCCTGGTAATTCTAGACTGCAGAGATCCAAAGTAGGATGTGCAGAAATTCTAAGCAACATGGGTGGGGGTGGGGGCGGGGCACATGCCGCTGGCCAAGTGGCCCCTTCAAGCCTTCAGATTCTTATTTACTCCCACGTACCAATATCAAATGCTGCTATGACATTAATCCCTCATTGCATTTCACAATAAGTGATCCTATAACTGAGCACCTAATCCATGGTGGCTAAAACTTATTGATAAAACGAGTAAGAAACCTGCATCTTAAGCACTTTTATTAGAAGAGAGGAAGAAACAGTCATGGACAAGACCCTGGGGCCGGCACAATGATCCCCTCCCCCCAAGACTGATGTTTCAGTCTCTTGAGTTTATCAGTGAGTCTGAAATGGGGAGATTATCCTGGATTATCGGAGTGGGCCCAATGTGAGCCGAGCATCCCTGAAAACTGAGGCGGAGCAACAGGAGGGCACAGATGCAACTGTGAGCAAAGTTAAGGGAGCTGCAGCATGCTATGAAGCATTGGCCCCAGAGGTGGGGCAAGAGATTCTCCGAGTCCTCATGAAGCCCTCAGCCCAGGCCCCTATGGCAGGTCGCTTTCCATTCCATGGGATATAAGACAATACTTTGGGCTGTTGTTGAGCCACTCCATTTATGCAACTTACTAGACCAACCACACACACATATACACAAAACCCTCAGAACTTATATTAGTAATAGCAATAAAAATAACAGCAACTACAAATATTCCTGGTCAGTTACATAAACTAAGTAAGCTGGATACAGTAACTTCCAAAAGTCATTTCCAGAAACCATGTTTCTGTACAGATGATGTGATAATGCCATATAAACTGAGGACCAGGCCAGTTCAGAGAATTGTACTGAGGTATAGTTTACACAGAGTCATGCTTTGCTTTTACTGTACTGTTCAGTAACAGTTATAAACAGGATAAAGTGTGTTATGCTCTGGTGTGAATTTTACACAAAAGCATTTTCACGCTATGTGAGATAACATAAAGAGGACACTTCCCTGTGGGAAACATGCAATTCTTCCTTGCATTCTTTCTGTCTGGGATGACAGATGGTGATGGGACAAGGGAAGCCTCTTCATTCGAGCGTGTGTGTGTGTGTGTGTGTGTGTGTGTGTGTGTGTGTGAGATGTACACATGTGTGTGTGATGTACACATGTGTGCAGTTGCACATGAACACAAGGGCATGCATGTGGAGGCCTGACACTGATTTTAGGTGTCTTCCCTTGATCCTTTTCCACTTTACTTTTTAGGACAGGGTCTGTCACTGAACCTGAAGTCCCTTTGTTGGAACAGGCTAGCAAGCCAATAAGCTACATGGATCTGCCTGTATCTGAGCCCCCCAGCATGGGTATGCCCAAATGAGTTCAATTACCCTTGGAGGCCAGAAGGGTTGGATCCCTGGGAGCTGGGGCTACATGTGGTTAGGAGCCACCTGACATGTCTGCTAGAAAGTGAACTTGAGTCCTTGTTGTAGAATATTATTTTAAGGTGTGTTCCATTTATTTATGCTGTGGAACACTTGTTTTAATGATGCAAAGATGTGTTGCATTCTTTTATATTGCATTTGTTTAACTCTGTGAAGCTGTGATTCTTTGCCTGTCTTAAACACCTGATGGTCTAATAACGAGGTGAACGGCCAGAAGTGAGGCAGGAGAAAGGACAGGCAGGGCTAGCAGGCAGAGAGAATAAACAGAAAGGAAAATCTGGGAGGAAAGAGGAAAGGAGAGGGGAGATCAAGGAGTGAGAAAAGAAGGGGCCAGCGACCCAGACAGCCATGGAGTAAGTGTGAAAGATTACAGAAGAAAAGGAAAAAGCCCCGAGGCAAAAGACAGAAGGTGATAACTTAGATTGAGAAAAGCTGGCTAGAAACAAGCCAAGCCAAGGCTGGGCATTCATAAGTAAGAAAAAGTCTCCGTGTGTGATTTATTTGGTAGCTGGGTGGCAGGCCCCCGAAAGAGCTAAAGACTAACAACCAACATTTTGCCATTCCAGCGTGGGGCTAGAGTAAAATCAACTCCAATGACAAGTCCTCTGCAAGAGCTCCTTGCCCTCACCCTTTTATGCAGGTTATGGGGCTCTGATCTCAGGCCCTGGTGCCTCCCCAATGACACTTACCGGTAAGGCCATTGCCACAGCCTGCCTCTTTATACACTGAACAATGACAGGCAACAAGACACGGTCCTACTGTCAGAGAATGTATATTTCTGTGAACTGAAAATATTGAGCCCAAGCTCAAAATAACCTATGCTCACCTGTCGTCAAAGGCAAGTGGGTGATGCTGTTTAGACAGGTCAGGGTGAACCATGTGGAGGAGAGTGTAGCCCCAGAAAACAGGAGGAGAAGAATTAGTTTCAGCATACCCCGGATAAAATCTGCAAACCTGAAGAGAAACAGTACCATATTAATCCTAGCTAGACTTTTCAGTATTGTTTAAATTAGCCACATACTTTGTTTAAGTAACTATTACTTGAATTTTGCCTGCATAGTTTTAAAAGCCAGTTGTAAATATATATTTACTTCTTTCCTTGTGTCTAGGATGTTACTTAATAATAATTTATTTTCCTCCTACAAAATACAAAAGATAATCTGTTTGTAATCTACGGTTCACAGAACAGGTTTTGACTTTTTAAACTGACTTTTATTCTATTCTTACACTTTCTAAACACCCTATACTGAATACATATTAGGCCAGTTTTAGTGCTGACACTGATGTATGAGGATGGCTCTCCCAGAAGTCACACTCAAAGAATGCACACAGATGCCTGCAGATCCAGCAGTCAACACGATCAGGCCCTGCGCTGCTCCCCCGTTTCCAGTTGCAGAACTGTTTTCTGTTCTCATCCTGCTAAAGTTGGTTCCCACCGCAGGGTCTGGCTTTAATACCTGCTCGAAGTTGCCTTTCTGCTGGTAACATTAACACCCAGACCCTCAAGCACTCACTCCTGCTTATTCCTCTACTTACCCAGGTCTTATTCAACATGGCCCTTCATGCTCACTCACGTCCTCCCCACAGTGCCTCACATTTTTGTTTTATATCCACATAACAGCTTTCCTCTGTTGGAAACTGTTTGTGTTTTGCATTTGTTTATTTGCTGTCTTCTTACTAGATTGTAAACTTTCTAAGAGCAAGAGTACAGCTAAGCTGTGGCAACATATGGCTGTAATCCTAGCACCCAGGAAGCCGAGATAGGAGAAAGGAGTGTTCAAGACCAGCCTGGGCCACAAAATTAGACCTGGAAATCAGTTGGAGGGTGGAGAGTGCTGGGAGTTTTACAGCATTTCAGATTCTCAAAACTTACTATTCTTTCCTGAATCTACATGAACTAAAAGCTATGCCCTTCACTCCTCTCCCACCTTTCCATTTGCTGCTTTTCTTCCTACCACAGCTCTGGCTGTAGCTAAACAGTTACCCCATTCTCTGGGATTATTTCTACTATAGAAATGCCCCCAGTATAACATGAACCATGTTCTTTCCATTTGCCTTCAAAACTGAGTGCATTGTCTACTCTCTACTCAGCTGTCCTTTGTAACACTTCAATACTATCCTTTTTTGTTTTGTTTTGATGATATGGGTGCTCGTTTGTTAGTGTTTTCTGGACTAAGTGACTCTATGATGTGAGAGCTGCTGCCACCTACTGGTGGGAAGAATGGGCTGCTTGGTTAGTGACTGGTTTGCTCTTGTCAAGAAATTCCTACACACTATACACTCTGGAAAGATCCTCCAAGATGTGTCCCCAAGGAGATGGCAGATGCAAGTCTGAATTCTGAGCTCACTGCTTATTATTATTTATTACATGAAAACTGTGTGTGATTCTTGTCACAGTTAAGAAATTTCCCTGCCCAAACTTTTAGCTTTTATATTTTATTCTTCTGTGCTTTCTAACATAAAAAAAAGTGACTTGGAAGTTATAAATTCAGTTTATTCCTACATCATCTTAGAAACACTATGTAAAAACTGTAAGGTCTATATATTATCCTGTGTCGATTGCTTTAAGGGTTTAGACATTGAGGGGATTTGTATATCTTCCTGGTCTCCTCAAATACGTAATTAGATTCTCTTCTTCCTAGTGAGGTGATTGGCTGCTCTTGGTGTGATGCAATGGCTTGGAGGGTGAATGATATTCTTTCTTTCAATGTCACAAGAATTGTATTTCTAAGACATTTTTTTTTTTAATAAAGAATCCCTTTCTTCTTCTAACACACTCTAAGATAATGGGTTTGGATGAGAGAGTGTGAGGACATCAGAGATCTCCACAGACATTTCCACTGAACATCTCTGAGTCCACAGATGTTCTGGATTGTGGCTCCTTCTTGCTAACTGCTGCCTTACCATTTTACTATTTTTTTAATTGTATCACTTGAGGGAGGGAATTTGAAGATGTTGTTCTCCAATAAAACAAGGAGAAGGAGCTTAATTACACAGGGAATACACTTCTGGCCTTTGGAAACCACTGTAGGAAGGCCTGCTCCTAAGCAGGCTTCTACTAGCTGGAACCCTTTCTGCCACATGAACATTCCTCGTAGTCTGAATAAATAGCTGTTTCTGGCCTATTTACTCTGCTCTTTCCTAAGTAATGTTCATATGGGGAACCCACTCTCTTCTGACTTCCCCCTCCACCGCATCACTTACAGGTTTAATATGAAATATTCTTACCTTGCTATAGCTATCCCAACAACACAACCTCCAACGATAGACCAAAATCCAATCCAGCCAGCATCTACCTGTTAACGAAGCAGCAGGCACATTAATACACAAGACTGGCATAAGTGAAATCCTCTATAGTCAGTATTAACAGCTAATTGGCAACAAATCTAGAAATATTATTTAAGAAAATGGATAAAACAAAAGGAGTCATGTATAACTAATGAATACAAATTTATCAACATAATTATATTCCCCCACTTATTTTTATTAGAATGCTTAAACCAACAAAATAATGTCATTAAATATTTTCAGGCATGTGCTGTACACTAACATTGTCTAGTACAAAGAATTCTCAAGAAGAAAGGACAGAAAACAGACGCTGACTTCAAGAAGTTTAAATCTAATCATCATACATAAAACTAAAAAATCATTTGTTGCTAAGACATCCAGCCATACCTAAGACTACATCAAGGGATGTGAGATGTGAGAGGAGGAGGAGAGGAGGGGAGGAGAGACATGAGAGAGATGTGGTGTTGAGGAAAAGGCTGGTATTTTAATATGATATGCATATATGGATATGATATGCATGCTTAGGCCTCAGGGGACTCAGCTTGGTCCCCAGCTGGTGGTACTACTTGAGAAGTTCCAGAAGCTTCAGGAGGTAGGGCCTACCTGGAAGGAGGTTACAGGAGACACATCTCTAGGGACTATATCTTATCTCGGGCCCCTGTCTATGGGAAGGTAGGCTGCTCTGCTCCCTGCCATGATGTCCCACATCTCTCAGCCCCAACACAGACTAGATCTCTAAAACCATAAGCCACAGTAACGCCTTCCTCCTGGTAAGTTGTTCTGTGAATGTCCTTGTCACTTAGAAGTCTGATGAATGCCAAGCAGATAGAAAAAGAAAAGCTGAACTCATAAAACATTTCTATTCCTGCTACTGAGAAGCTCAGTGACCCCGGTCAACTACGCCTCTTACTACAAAATGATGAACAAGATGATCTGTGCCCAGGACGTAGCTCGGCGGGGCACACAGCGTGCTCACTGATCATTAGTGGCTACTCCCACTCAGGATGCTACATTCCCACACCACTGATGCACCTTTATACAACTTGCCCTCTGTCCTCTGACTTCAAGTCAGTAGCATAGGCTGAGAAAGTTCTTTCTGAGGGAAAGTCAGCTACTACATGTAAAGGACTTGTTAGCTGTTGTAATGGAGTCTCTGTGTGTCCTTCAGAGTACTGGTATGTTTTTATCTTCCTAAATCACCTACTTGTCCATCACTTCATTGCTTACATCCATGCTCCCATAAAAAGCTTCTGAAAAGGTCCCTAGATATCTGTTTTGTACCCTATCCAGTCATTCTGCTCACAATGGCTTTCCTTGAAGTTACACACAAAAGCCCAACCACCTGGCACTTGAGTCCCCAAAGCTAATGTCTATCTTTATTATCTTTTCTTTTTTGAGTCACATTTCTAACTGTGACTAGGACTGACAGCCAAATGTTACCTCATTCTACTTGTGTACTCAGGTAGACTACACATCCTCTCCTTTTTGGTATGTGTGATCAAGTAACTAAGTTCCCTTAATTGAATTGAGGTCTCCATGAAGCTGAAAGACAGCTCTATGCTCCTCCATGCTTGCTCTCTTTCTACCACTTGCCCTCTGGATCTGAACAATTATTTGCAATGACAAGGTCCAGGGGACAGAATCAGTACAAAGGAGAAGCAGTCCAAGTCTATAGAATAACACGATGAAAAAGAGTCAAGCTGTGGCCAAGAGTCCAGGACCATTATACATGCTGTCCTAAGTTGCTGTGGACCAGAATTTATCCTTCAGTCCTCAGAATGGGGGAAGTTGTAGCTTAGCCTACTCTAATTCTACTCTTACGGTATTTTCTCCTGGAAGCACACGAAGGGAGCACCCTGGCACTTCTATAATCACTAGCCTTCCACAGCACTGGTAACAAGAAGACTCGGTAATGCAGGAATACTCTTCTAACCTTCTGGCACCTGTTATCTGTTACTCAGTGCTCACGTAACACCTAGACCTCTGCACATTACTTCCTCGTGTGTGTGTGTGTGTGTGTGTGTGTACACAGGAGCATGCCACTCATACAGGCATGTTCATGTCATGGTACACGTGTTGAGGACAACTTCTGGTGTTAGTCCCACCTTGCCTTTTACTTTGCTTGAGAAAGGGTCTCTCACCCGTGGCTGCTAAGCTGACCTTCAAGCTTCAGGTGTTCCTCTCCTCTCACTGCAAGAGCATCGGGACTGCAGACGCCTGCCTCAGTCACTGGTTTTCATGGCTTCTGATGACCTAAACGCACATCCTCATACTTGTGTGACACACATTTTACCCACTGAGCTACCCACTTTTCTAGCACAGCCCCACACGTTCTCATCTGGCCCTGGGTGAATGGCACTGTTTGCCAGCCTAAGAAGAATTCGTGTCTAGCTGTACTGACACCGGTCTTTTCAAGCCAGTTAAGATCTTTTCCTTTTGTTAATGGTATTTATTTAATTAAATTCTACCGGATAACCTTTCTTTGTTTAATTTTTGTTGTTCTCATTTAATTTCAAATTATGCTTTAATACCTGATGTGATCATGGACACTGTATTTCTCAGAATGTATACATAGACAGATACCTAGAAGGGCTTCTTCATGTAACACAAGGCAGATACACAAAAATCAATATCACTTAAATAAACTTGTACTTTTTCTTATTGGAACTGAGCACACTAGGAATGCCTGCCATCCAGAACACAGGCCAGGAAATTAAAGAAGAAAGCCTCAGTCTTGTGGTAAAGGTTCCACTATGGTCTAACGATGGGGGTCTTCCCAAAACCTATGTGATGGAGTTGAATCCCTAGTGTGATAGTATGATAAGAAGAGAATTTTTCAAGATTTCTGTATTTTATGGATATGAGTACTCCATTTGCATGTATGCTTGCAGAACAGAAGACATCAGATTAAAGAGAATATCAGATCTTATTATAGATGGTTGTGAGCCACCATGTGGTTGCTAGGAACTGAACTCAGCCAGTGCTCCTAACCTCTGAGTCATCTCTTCAGCCTGATGAGAGGCCTTTCAATGATAAAGTTGTAAGAGATCTGCCCTATGAAAATGGGATTAGCTTTCTTTATAAAAATAGAAGAAATTACAGGCAGTGATGGCACACCCCTTTAATCCTAGCATTTGGGAGGCAGAGGCAGGCAGATCTCTGTGAGTTGGAGGCCAGCCTGGTATACAGAGTGAATTCCAGGACAGCCACAGCGAAATTCTGTCTTAGGAAGAGAAAAAAAAAAAAAAATTAAAAGGGGCTGCCTCATCCTCTGCCGTGCAACAGTGCAGACAGATGCATACAACACACAGTCATTAGCCTGTCCACAAAAAAGGCCACTAACATTGCTGCATAACCGAGTGCTCTGTTGGCATGGAACAGGAGAAACACCAAGCGCTACTGGCGGGATTATAAATGGATGCAGTGCCTCCAGGCTTTACACTGCCGTCAAAGGAAGCATACGTGAAAAACCAGCAGTTCTATTCCTGGACATACAACCAAAGACCTGTACAAAGGGGCATCAAGAGCAACACATGAGAATGGTCACACAGCCCTCCTGTGACAGGGAAAACCTGGAAACAGCACAAATGTTCATTAAACACAGACGGCCAAACTGTTCATTCACAGAACTAGGACTGCATGCCAGTGTGTTGCATTTCTCCTATCTGCCTCTCTAAACCTCTCTCTGCCCCTCCTACCATACTATCTGGAAGCATTTACATGTGCACATGCATGAATCTGTGTATGTGTCTGCATGTTACATGCAGGTGAGAGGACAGCTTGTGGGAATCAGATCTCTCCTTCCACTATGTGGGCTCTGAGCATCAAACTCAGATCATCGTGTGTGGCTGAAAATGCTTTTACCCACTGAGCGGTCTTGCTGGCTACGATTATGGTTTTTTTTTGTTTTTTTTTTTAAGGAGATGTCCTAATTCTGAGACTAGAGAGAAAGTACTTAGAATAGCAATATATCAGGTGACAGGGTCATAATTTACTTCATCAGGTATGAAACAAGGATAAATGATGAGGTTAACAAAACTAAGACTTTTTTCTCTTCTGTTTATTGCTAGTAACAGCAGCCCAAGAAATGTGAAATTCATGGCTGATATTAAAAACTGGGTTTTCAACTGTCCCATAGGAATCTTGTTTTTGTAACAATAATTTATGTAACATTTCACCTAATCCCTGAAGCTAAATGCAAAGCATACCACAATTACTTATGAATTAAATGACCTAAAATTCCTACAACATATACAGACACAGATACTCACTTGGCTGACAATTACTTATGAATTAAATGACCTAAAATTCCTACAACATATACAGACACAGATACTCACTTGGCTGACATGTACTGGTGTTAAAATTAAGTCCAGAACTCCCGACCAGCCAGCAAACACACCAAGTGGTATCGCATACGCTAAGGCAATCATCAAAAATCGCAAATTGCTGCAAAAGAAGACATTATTACAAATGAAAATGTAAAACAAACTATTTATGAAACACTTAAGTCATTTTGAAACTGGAACACAGAGCTGAAGATTCTGTAACCTGTTAATTTTTAATAAGAACCAGCCCTAAACGGGATGACTTTATCACACGCCTGTGCTCAAGGCTCAGTAGGTGGAAAGACTTAAGAGCTCAAGTTGGTGGGTGACTCCAGGGAACACTTTTCCAGACACAACAGGGCAGAGGTACGTAGGAACTCAGAGTCATGTCAGCACACGCAGGGCCTGCACAGGTTCAAACCAGACAAAATCCTGGCATGGAGAGGGGAATGGACACAAAGTCCCATCCCTAACCAAGGAGCTACTTGTAAGCGATATGCCTGGAGATGGAAAATCAGTTTTCTTTAATGAAGTGAGAACAGGTGGTGTCACTCACACTCCAGGGCAGGCCCGTGCTCAGAGACAGTTGGCCAACACAAAACGGGCACCATGGTTTTGTTGTTGTTTGTTGGGGTTTGTGTTTGGCTTTCTTGAGAGAGAGAATATGAATCTGGGTGGGTAAGAAGGGGTTGAGAATCTGAGGTAAGTTGGAGGAGGGGAAGAATATAATCAATATATATATGGTTTGAGAATTACAAAAAAGAAACTGCACAAAAGAATCCTTTTCACTTATATTTCTTAATATTCCCAGTGTTTGCTGTGTTACATTTTATGTGTTATGATGTATTTAGGAAGCCAAGATAGATCCTATCTTAAAAATTCCAACCAAAACAAAACCAAAGAAAACCCATATAGCACCTAGGAAGGTGGGGGGGGGGAGAAAGATCTTAAACCTAATAAGAGAGCAGAGACAATCTAAGTAGATGGACAGTCCATGCTATCAGCCTACACTGGCCTATAAATTCAATGTAATCACAACTAAAATTATACTTGTATTTTTCTAGAAATATGAAAAATTAAATCCCTTAAAAAGCTGTCACCCTTACAAAATGAAGGCTTAAAAGTTTTGATGTGCTCTGAAGAAACATGTTCAAGTCTAAATGCAAACCCAGCAGCCATCACCAAGCATGACAAAGGGCAACGGGTCACATTAGGTCACACAGGCAAAGGCATATTAAAAATAAGCAAATCTCACGGGGAAAACCCTGGAGCAGAACTGCTGACAGATTTGATGTATCCAGATAATATAATTACGATTTTCAGATCAGGCTTTTTAAAATATTAAAAATCTTTAAAAAAAAATCAAAATAAGAAGAAAGGGTTTCTGAAGTTCTTTGAAAAAACCAGAGGAAAATTATACTGTAGGCTTGAGGCAGGGGCAAGACAGGTCCACACAATGCCCCTAAGAACCCGTAAGTATAGCAGGTCACCATACTAAACAAAAAAACAAAACAAAACAAAACAAACAAAAACACAACACTGAGTGCAGGCTTCGGTGAAACAGAGTGGTCCTGGTCAGAGGAACAGAGTTACCCTTCTTTCCTGTCAGAGTAATTTGTTGGTAACTCAGCACAATGCCCTGCAGTGCTTCATAGCTCCTATGGAATAGTCAGTGGCTAGCTCTGCCCATCAACAGATAACTTCTGCTGTTGGCTTTGCTGTGAGAAAAATTTAGATAAATAACATTTTAAAGAACTTATTTTAAACTATTACCTTGCATATGTGTGCCACAGACCCCAATTAACAGTTTTGATTGCATTTATTTAATTATTGTGTGTATGAGAGAGAGGGGGCAGTGTTCATGAGTCTGTTTTCTCCCTCCACTATGTGGACCCTGGAGATGGATCTCAGCACTGGGCTTGGTGGCAAGTGCCTTTGCCCACTGAGTCACCTTGCTGCCCTATGATGTTTTCCTCAGTCTCTTATGTGGACAATAAAGTACATGGTGCTGTTGGGAGGTGGATTTTCAAAACCTTCTTACTGTGCCTAAGAGTAGGAAATTTTACTTTATTTGGTAATGTCTCACAAAATATGTACCATTATCACATGTAAAAACACAGTATTCCCTACCCACTGTACTTCATCTCAAAAAAAAAAAAAAAAAAAAAAATGGTGCTTGGCCTATTAAATTAGTTGGCCTGTGAGCCATGTGAAATGGGGCTAGCACAACTAAGGAACTGAACTTTTAATTTCTTCCTTTTAACTAGTTTTTGCCTAAATTTTAAACCACAAGAAATGAAAAGTACTTTCCCACTAAACTTTATTTACTAATTTATATGCACTGTCGGAAATGCAACCCAGGGCCTGCACACCCTAGGCAACACTCTACAAACTACACAACACCCCTGTCCTTAAGCTTTATTTTTTGAAGAACACATCTCATTTTAACAACTGCAACACATAAGACATTATTGGGGCACACAGTGCATGTTCAAGGCTAGCCTGGTCTACATAACAAGTCCCAGGCCACTCAGGGCTACAGAATAGGACACTGTCTTATAAACAAATAACAAGAGAAAATTAGTTACTGGAAATTAGAATTAAATACACAAAGAATACCCCAAACAGCTGTTGGTAGACCTGAAGTTAGGGCTTGGGCTAGCTATAAAACACTTTGGGTTCTTGTACAGAAAGAAAAGCAATTATAGATGAAGAGATGGGAAGATTGTTATTTTAGTTATAGAATTTTTTTATTATGAGGGAAAACTAACAGACTGACTGTACTCTAAAGAAGTGAGAGACCATCGACTATGACCTCAGCAAGACTTTTCCTCTAACATCAAGGACCTGTCCAGTCAAGGCATGAGAATGCAATGGTTTATTTTTAATTTTAGATGAAAAGTAAACAGTGGGAAATATTGTTCAATGAGTACTTTTCCACTATAAATTTGATGGAATCTAATAAATTTTATGGAATCTATATCAATTGAGAGTGTTCACAAGTGAAAACACAGTAGATACTAAAAAAAAGTATCAGTAAAAATATCCTATTAATAATTTTAATTGACTACATGTTAAGATATTTTAGATATTTAAGGTTGAATAAAATGCACTATCAAAATCCATTTTAGTTATTCCCTTCTAATATCTCCTAGTGAGATACTAAAAACTTTATGGTGATGTATGTAGCTTAGGTATTAATACAGAGGACATAATGATATAGTCCTTTATTGGAATTTGCCACAGGGGAAGGGTTAGAGTGATTGAAGAAAAAAGAAAGAACCAACTAGAGAGCTAATGAATTGGTAACAATTCCTGATAGATAACTAGGAAAGAAAATTCAGAAGGTAACATCACATATCCCGATTACAAGTCACAACCCATGGTGACTTTGATATGTTTTGGAGTCAAGCTTAGTCTTGGGGCATTTGAGCCTTTGAGGGCAGAATCTAAGTACATGTAAGTTAAACCAATAAAATGAAGGATGCATTGCATTTCACACTCTAGGAGCCTAGTGGGGGGTACACTGAGATGACCTCCATGTGTGTGCTGTGGTACATGTGTGCCACCATCACACCCATCACTTATGTGAGCTCGTGCGCGCATGTGTGTGCGTGCACACACACACAGATACAGACACAAACACATACTGACAGACCTGCACACACAGACATAGACACACATACACACAGACCAGACACAAAGACACAGACAGACATAGACACACACAGAGATACAGACACATACATAGACACAGACACACACATAAACACCCAGACATGCACATACATACAAACAGACACAGACATCACACACACAGATAGAAATAGACACAATTACACTGACAGCTGCCATAGCCAGTCTACTCACCTTAGTAACCTACAAAAGCTGCGCCGGTAACTCAACCGCTGGCTGGCTGCAGCAACACTGGGAGGAAGAGGAGGCCGTGGTGGAAAATAAGCAAGGGTGGCAGAGAATATTAGACAGACAACTCCAAACTCTGAAAGAAGAATAAAAGTGGAGTGTTAACCAACGATACAAAAAGTCAGTACTTATTTCTTTAATATCTAGCTCTACAAAGATAAGCAGGAACACCACTCAGCCCAGAGCAGAGGCTGAGCGTTTGCAGACCTAAATTCCACGGGCCACCAATAGGGGGCGTACTATGAACAAAGATTCAGTGCTGCCTGTACACACCAGTCATCCAAAGGCTGCTCTACAGGAAAGCCCACCAAATCCTGCTGGAGAGATTTTGAAGCAGGTCTAAGATGACTCTAACAAGCGTGCTTCTCAGAAAGAAGGAACACGGAAGGAGACTGGAAAGGACAGGATTCTGTCTGATGCAGGACAGGACTTCAGGTGTGTAGGTAAGACAGATTCAATTCACACACTGCAGGAAAGTTAAACAAGACAAGGAAGCATCTAAAAATAAGAAACCACAAGAAAGCACCTAAAAGTAAGAAACACAATGCTGCATGTTGTCCTCGGTCCCTGATTTCAGTCTTATTCCCTCTGTGCCAAATGCAAAATGTAAATCTCATCTTGGGGATGAACTTCATTCAGAGTGTAGTCCCGGCCCATGGAGGGGCTTCCATGGCCTGGCTTCCCTTGTGACTCAACCGATGCTCACGAGATCTGAACTACTCTATGCTTTGAGGTGTTTGGCCGCACCAGGTTCTCCCCCTTCACTGCGAGTTTTCTCCAGGGTTCTGTCTTTTCTTCTTCCCCTGTCCACTGGGTTTTGCTAATCCTTCTCAGCTCTGAGTTCCAGGCTAGGGCTACTCTCTAAGGAGTCCCACTGCACTCTCACAATCTGAGGTAGGCATGCCACTGCTGCCTCAGAGCTTCAGCGCCCTCAGCATGGCACCAGCACTCTATTCTATGACTGTTTACCTACCTTTAAACATGGTGAGCAGGAACCATGGCAGCCCCAGTGCTCAGCCCGGCAGGGCTCCCTGTATGAAACACCCCCACCCATCTGAACATCTGGTGGCTATCTATGAAGTTCTTAACTTCATTCATTATTATGTTCTTGGTAAAGCTTTCCCTAACTCCTCAGTTTCTCTCTAAACCCAGGCAAGTTTGGTTCCTCCACTTTGGGGGCCCCTACGGGTACTACAATGGTCTTAACCCTGATCTCCCCAACCCCCAGTGCTGAGCACAGTGCTGAGACACAGGAAAGATGTATAAAAGCCCGAGGAACAAGAAACAGGCGTATGGGGAGGACACATGAAAGCACTAGAGGAGTGGGGTACAGGGTTGGACGAGAAATAACAAGAGGATGGATGTAAGAGAATGCTTTAGAAAGGTCAGTATCTCTGATTGACAGACTAACACACACAGAGCTATGAAGAGAAGAATAAACTACAGGTGGATTAATAAAGTGAGAGGCTGTGGCCAAAAATGGGGAAATTGCAAGGGAGAAAACAGGCTGAATGCTACCAACAGGTGCTTGACATGTATTTATGGTCAAGCATGAGCATGACATTCAGTTTTGTATACAGATACCAAATCTAGAGAAGACTCTAGAATATGGTGTTATAGAGCCCTTTACTGTAAGTGGATTAAAAGCATGAAACTAAGAAAGAATTTTCCACGTAGCAAGAGCATGTTACATTTAAGGACGTCCTAGGAAGGTTACTTTAAGCAGGTACCTCCATATAATACAATGAAAGCACATTCTGAGAATGTGTATTTATCAGTCCTCAGGTGTGATATGACCTAGCACACCAGAACCAGAGAACAGAGACTGAAATAGAAACCAAAGTCAACCAGGAAGAAAAAGTCTCGATAGTACCTGCATATAACACAGTCTCGATGAGGTCTTTGATATGAGCCCTGCTACTCTCCGCGGTGAGAAGGGGCGATGTCCCATTGGGAGCTGGAACAACAAGGGGCCCGACGAGGAACGCACACGCTCCACCAAGGTAACTCAACATTGATGCAATTGCTGTGGCAGTGGCTCGCTCATCTGCAGAGAACCATGTTGTAGAGAGGAACGGGGCAGCATTCATGACAGTTGGACCTGCCAGTCCATTTAATATCTGTCCACCATGGATTAATCTGGAATTAGGAAAGTTACAAGGCTGGAAGACATTTGAAGCAAGCATTTTTCTAAATCAAAAGGATCTTACTAAGCAAACAGCAGTTTACCTACGGCAATAAAAATACCCATGTAAAGAGTAATGGCACTCTGAGAAGGTGAGCTGACCTACTTTCAAATGCCATGACGACTCTCTGGGAGGGAGACTGAGTATGGTGAGTTACCATTTACTCACTTCACAAATATGAAACTAAGAAGTTGCTGTAACCTTGGTGTGGTGGCTTGACTAGGAATGGCCCCAGAAGGCCCACAGAATTGAATGGTTACTCACCAGGGAATGGCACTATTAGGAGGTGTGGTCTTGTTGGGGTAGGTGTGGCCTTGCTGGAGGAAGCGTGTGGCTTTGGGGTTTCAAATGCTCAAGCCAGGCCCTCCTTCCCCCTCCCACCCCCCTCCCCTTCTAGAATTCTCAGCTCCTCTCCAACACCATGTCTGCCTGCATGCCATCATGCTTCCCACCATGCTGACAAATGACTAAATCCCTGAACTGTAAGCATGGCCTCATTAAGTGCTTTCCTTTGTAAGAGTTGTCATGCTCATGGTGTCTCTTCACAGAAATAGAGCATTGACCAAAACACTTGGTCCATTTACCCCAGTGTTGTTTCAGTTTGCTGAAGTAGGAGAGCCTAAACTTGCCAAGGTGCTAAGTAAGCAAGTCAAAAACTGGATTAAAAATGCATTGTTTTTTCCTAGTAGACTGCCACCCATCCTTTTTTTTTGGGGGGGGGGGTTCAAGACAAGGTCTCTCTGTGGCTTTGGAGGCTGTCCTGGAACTAGCTCTTGTCGACTAGGCTGACCTCAAACTCACAGAGATCCGCCTGTAACTGGACATCTTCTGCTCAGAAAAAAAGATTTCCCGAATGTAGAAAGAAATAATAAACAGGCACATGTAGGAGGCAGGGGCCTAAGTAGGAGCTAAGAAGTAAAATATGCAAGCCAGGTCTGTTCTCTCCATGAACGTTAGGTAGATTATCTGAAGGGAAAATATCTCTAAATGCCATTAATATTCCTAGGTTCAAAAATGAAAAACAAATTAAGGTCTCTTGTGTAAGGGAAAGAATTTCCTAGGTACAGAATTGCATTCAAAATGTTTATGTGACCAGATAATTCCTCTAAAGTCAGCAGATCCCAAGATACCCACAGCAATTCTATCTAGTGGTATCTTTTTCACTGTAGACCTGTTTAAGGGTAATCAGCATGCAAATGAACTGTTTAAAATCCTCAATGACACACACCTTTAGTCCCAGCACCTGGGAGGCAGAGGCAAGCAGATGTCAGTGAGTTCAAGGCCAGTCTGGTCTACAGGGCAAGTTCCAGGACAGTCAGGGCTACACAGAGAATCCTGTCTCAAAACAAAGAAAACACCCAAAAAATAATAAAATCGTTACCCAAATGTGTATATGGGATCAATACCGTTTATACGTGTTTAGAAATTTCAATTTAGCAATACAAAAAAGCAAAGTCGGGGCTGTCAAGATGATTCACCAAGTTAAGGTTCTCATTGCCAAGCCTGACACTGGAGTGTAATCCTTGGGAACCACAAAGCGAGAGAAGAGGCAGAGCTCCCACAGGCTATCCTCTGACCTCTATAACCATGCCATGACACACATGTGCTGTCCCCACCACACTCTCTACTGAGGAAAATAAAGCCATTAGCAAATCTTCTGGAGTTAATGCTCTTACAATAGATGTTGAGGGTATAAAGGTCAATATGACATCACTATCACAGCACAGTGGCTGGGGGCAGGGCAGAAGCTAAGGCACTTTTGTTTCTGGCCAATAAGCCAGAAGGCACAATAGGAATGGTCAGGAGCTGCCCTGGGCTATTCAAAGGGTGTAATGCTTCCTTCCTGGAAACATCACACAGATGGCAGACTGTCCATTGGGCCTGTGCAGGTCTGTCAGGGGCAGCTGTGTTACCTGGTTCCTCCCTGCCTCCTCACATGGCGTCCCTCAGGGTCCTCTGTCCCCAACCTCAACTCAAAGCCTTTGGCTTCCTTTCTCCCACTTTGTAAGCTTCGTTTGTCCCACCACTGTAAGCCAGGTGGAAAATGGATGAGACCTCACTTCTTAAACATGGGATAAATTTAGGCTTTCCATAGTAAGCAGTGTGGAGAATAAGGTAGAGGCCCCTCTTGTACCCATGGACCTGGGATGCAGGGACAAGAATGTGCACTGCCATGGCTTGCTAGCTAGACCCTGGCCATGAGAGGTCTGCTGAACCCTGCCACTGCGCTAGGCAGCTCTGGCCTTCAATCAATGCCCTGTACACAGAGGGACACACAGGATGGCACTCAAGCACAGCTGCACTCCTTTTCATATTATTCAGTATTATTTAGATTTTCAAAGAAATGCCAATGGCTCAAGTTTAGACCAAATAGCTAACTCTGTGTTTTCTACGTACTTGACTTTCAACTTACATTTAATAATATTTTGCTTCTGGCACCATGGAACATATACCTACGATTCCTAAATGATTTCCAAATAGAACAATATGTTTTATCATTTAAATTGTTGTAGCTAAAAGTGATTCCAGACCTACTCCCTTGAGAAGTTAATAACATATTGAAAAATAACATTTGTGTTGGGTGGTGGTGGTGCACACCTTTGACCCCAGCACTTGGGAGGTAGAGGCAGGCGGATCTTTGTTTGAGGCCAGCCTGGTCTACAGAGTGAGTTCCAAGACAGCCAGGGTTACACAGAGAAACCCTGTCCCCAAAAGAAAAGGAAAATAACATTTATAATTTTAAAACGTCCCTCTCTCTAGAAAGCACTGGGTGGGGGCTCAGGCACATAACTCATGGCTAAAGCAGGGCTAGCAAGCACAGCCAGAAGTGATGTCCTCACTCCTACGCCCCTCTGCTCTGCCACAGGCATCATTTTGCAGCTTCTCCATTTACAATAGTGACAGTAAAAATCCGTGGCTGCTGCGATGCCCCCAGGCAGGCAGAGTGAAGGTAGACAGTGCCCAGGACATTTCCTTCCTGAGCACAGTCCTACTTTATCAGCCCCTAGGGTATGACTTGCACTGCTGATGCCGGAGACTTGACTTTTGTAAAACACAGCAGATACTTCCTGGGGGTTAACCAGTGTTCTTCACTCAAATTCTATTCTTAAATATGAAATATTTTAGAAGTCATAAAGTATTACTTGCCCCTTTAGACTTAACATTCCAACAACTCAGAAACTTTCTCCCAATTCCTAACCAACATAAACTCACTGGGCATAGAAAATAGGAGAAGTGCTAGAAATAGTCTGCCTTCTTCGCAGCCCAAGAACGGTTTGGAATTAACTCTAGGAAAAAGGAACTTAGTTAGGCAAGGAGAGACAGACCCTGGGAAAGTCCCAAGCTTTGGCCATGTCTTAGAGCTTCTATTTTTAAATGAAAACTTAGTGTACTTTCAAATCTTTAAACAACTGGCCAATTATGATTGAATTTCAAAGACCCCAAGTATTCACAATGCTCAAGGCAGCCGTAGTCATCACTGAAGAGGACATAAAGCCTTGGCCCTAAAGAGACTGCTAATAGTAACTTCCCAAACACCTGTGAGAGAAAGGACAGGGTAAAGTGCACAGCACACTGGGTTAGACACAGAACACTCAGCCTCTGGGCTCCCCCCACTTCCTTAACTGTATAATCCCTGCTGAATCCCTCATTCCTCCAAAGACACTTTATTACTCTAACAGGGAGTTTCACAGGCCAAATACAACAACCTTTAGCATGATACGAGAGGAAAACGGATTTGGTTCCCGGCCTGAGAGGTGCCTACCTCCCCTCATGTTGCCTCATATCCTTTATTTCTTGCCAAATAACTTTTATTTCATCCTCTTAATTAAAAGTATATGTATTCACAGTAGAAAAATTTGGAAAGAAATGCACAGAGAAGAAAAACTTTATCCATAAATTCCATACATCAGTTTGGGTGACTGATATTATTATTTTGATTTTCAGCCTTTTTTCTTCCAGTTGTTTTCTGGTCAGACAATCACAGATATTACATTGAGTATACAAGTTTTATGTATTAAGTTATTTTGCTTTTTAATATTAATAGTGTTGATGACAGTCATAATATATGGATATCAGGTATTATCTAAATTACTTCTCTGGAGCCAGTAAGGCAAAATATAGGAACCATCAAAATGCTGTAAAAACATAGTACTCTACAGAGTTTCGCTGAAGGGTTTGTAGTAATTTACATTTCCATCAATGAAAGTGCCTGCTCAAACTGCCTTGTACACTAACACTACACACACATGCCCGTGTACACATACACTCATGCACACAAACATTCACACCCCTTAGTTTTCTACTGCTATTATAATTAACTACCTCCACTTTATTATTGTATGCCTCTGAAAATCAGAAGCATAACTTGGGTCATCTCAGGGGTAAGCCAAGGTGTGGCAAGACTGTGCTTTGAGGGAGAATCCCTTTCTCTTCCTTCCTTCCTTCCTTCCTTCCTTCCTTCCTTCCTTCCTTCCTTCCTTCCTTTCTTTCTTCCTTCCTTTCTTTTCCTTTTCTTTTCCAGCTCCTAGAAGCTCCCCATATTCCTTGACTTTGGCCCCCATTGCTATCTTCAAAGCCAGCAACTGTGGTTTGAGACCTCCCTGCCTTCCTCTTTTGCATCTCTTAAAGAGGCTTGTGATTACATAGGCGCTACCTGAGCAATGCAGGGTACTCTCCTCATGCTCAGGTCATCAGATTAGCAAACCGTAACACTTTTTCTTACTGTAACAAATACCTGATCTAGCCTACTTATGAAGAAGAGGGCCATTTGGTTCAGAGTTTGGGGGCTGACTCCCCAAATGTCATCTTTCAGGTTCTGTGTTGGGTGCTGCCGTGTGGTTGCACCATCTCATGCAGACAGCAGTGGTGCATGTATGGGTGGTGGACACATGTATAGGACAACTGACAATAATCTTAACCCAGGAGGCAGCGGACACAGGGAGGCCTGGTGTC